AGAATTTAGGCGATTATCACGATCTGTACTTAAAAACTGATGTACTGTTACTAGCCGATATATTCGAGATATTTAGAAAGACATGTTTCAAACAATACGGCTTGGACCCGGCATGGTACTATTCCAGTCCAGGACTATCGTGGGATGCATTGTTGAAGAAGACCGGCGTAGAACTAAAACTACTCACAGATTACGATATGCACTTGTTTATTGAGAAAGGATTAAGAGGTGGTATATCGATGACAGCTAAAAGGTATTCTAAGGCTAATAATAAATTAGTGGAAGGATACGATCCCAGTAAACCCAACACACACATATTATATCTCGACGCCAACAATTTGTACGGATGGGCTATGAGTCAACCTTTACCCATGGGTGGTTTTGAATGGGTCGATGATATCCATAATATCGAAGCGAATAAAGGGTACATACTAGAAGTTGACTTGGAATATCCAAGTTCGTTACATAAAGATCATAACAGTTATCCGCTAGCTCCCGAAAGATTAATGGTTAATAAAGATTGGATGTCGGAATATCAACGCTCCTTGATGGGTAATAGTAGGTTAGCTAACGTAGAAAAACTCATACCAAATTTGATGGATAAAACAAAATATATAGTTCACTACAGAAATCTCCAGTTGTATCTATCGTTAGGTATGAAACTTAAGAAAATACACAGAGTTCTAAAGTTTGATCAAAGCCCTTGGATGGAGCCCTATATAAGGTTGAACACAGATTTAAGAAAGATAGCTACCAGCGATTTCGAAAAGGATCTGTATAAGCTCATGAATAACTCGGTATTTGGTAAAACTATGGAGAATCTAAGGAAGCGTGTTGATGTTAAATTAGTCAGATCTAATGAGGAAGAAAGACTCAGGAAACTTATAGCCAGTCCGGCTTTTAACAGAAGCAAGATATTCGATAATGACTTAGCCGCGTTGCATATGCAGAAGAGTAATATAAAATTTAACAGACCGGTGTACGTTGGTATGAGTATTCTGGACTTGTCAAAACACTTAATGTATGACTTTTATTACAACGAACTTAAGAAGCAATACAGCGATAGATGTGAGGTGTTATATACCGACACAGATTCTTTGTTGTTGGAAATACAAACCGAGGATGTGTATAAAGATATGGCAGAAAAAATAGATATGTACGACACGAGCGATTACCCAAAAGATAATCCACTGCACAGCGTTGTAAATAAAAAGGTGTTAGGTAAGATGAAGGATGAATGTGCTGGGACCCCTATAGTGGAGTATGTGGGATTAAGACCTAAGATGTATTCTATAAAGAAGTCTGATAATGGAGAGATAAGAAAAGCTAAGGGTGTTAAGAAGTATGTTGTAAAAAAGCATATCAAACACGAACAGTATAAAGAATCATTATTTAACGGTAGAAAGTTCAAACATGAGATGAACTCTTTAAGAAGTTACAATCATAGGATATATGGATTAAGAATGAACAAGACATCATTATCCCCCTTAGATACAAAGAGATGGATTGATAATGATGGTGTAAATACCTATGCTTATGGTTATGGTGGTAATACTGTACCGTCGGGAACTTTGAACAACTCTTCTCGTACAAATGCCCTACCCGGTCCATCTTGAAGATAATAAAGAATAGGCTCTCCTTCTTTCATAACCAATCGACTAATGTTATACATCTTAAGGGACCATATGGGATCGGTTGCGCGACGTAGGCCTCCTTCGAGTTCACCGGCCTGGTATAAATATCTTACCCTTACTCTATCCGGAAGTTTTCGTTCTTTACCTCTCCTCGGTGCTGAAGATTTGGAAGTCACGGATTTCATTTTAATAGCATCGGATGGTTTCTTCCCTATTAATCTCGTTACTTCATTATTCAGCGCTGATACAACGGCTGATAATCGTGTCACCCATTCGGTTGATCTCAATCGCTCGGATTTCATTTCGATCCCATACTGATAGCCAAACAAACGTTCCGCTAATGTCCTGTTAAATCTTTCGACGATAGCTTGACTGCGGTGGGCCTCTCTTTCACCACGGACGATTTTGACATCGTTCTTTGTTAACAGTTTAGTTACCGATCCCATAAACTCGCGACCGGGATCTACTTGAAATAGCTTAGGCCATTTTAGCGGTCCGAGTTTATATATGCGACTCAGTGCATTAGCTACCTCTGTTGATTCTTTCGATGTTAATGGCTCAGCCTCTTTGTATCGACTAGCCACATCCACTACTGTTAAAGCGTATTTATACGTTTTGCGTTTTACCTTATCGTGGGGAAGAAACAAGAGGTCAGCCTGATGAACTTCATTCGTTGTAAAAATATCAAACTTCTTCCTCGGTATATAACGCGGTGCCGGTAAATATATTTGCCACATCGCTTGTTTCTTTAACCAATCCTTGGCCACATCTTTAGATACCTTAGCCGCGGTGGCTAATTTTTTTATTGCTCCTACACCTTTCCAATACCCTTGTGGGCTATAGTAAATTTTATCCATTATTAATTAATATTGATATTTCGTTTAATACAAATCCAGCTCCAGTGGAAGTGAGCCAGAACCCTTATTACCTATAAAAATTTATATCATTGGCCCCAGGTGGTGGTGAACTGGAGCCAATTTAACTTAATCTCATGACTATCATTAAATCACATAATTCATTTTGACATAAAAAATTCCATCTGTAGTAGCAGTATAGGTATATAAATCCAGCTACAGTGGAAGTGGTCCAGAACCCCCATTACCTATACTACTCCCCTGTTCTATGAACATTTTTTCCTCGTCTTCGCTACTAATACCACCGGTCTTTGATCGAATCTCCTGCTTCATTGCGTTGTATTTGGTGAGTTCTGACAACACCAAACAAAACTCCTCCTCGGATATCTTACAATCAGCCATTGCTGTTGAAATATGATCCTCAATGCTGTTCAACTTTGCTTCGGCGAGTATCCGAATATTATAGTGTTTTAATGCTTTCTTTTGCAGCTTACGAGAAATAAATTTTACCGCTTTTCCTGCCAGTCCTGAGACTCCGGCAGCTATTTGCATACCAAGTACGATAGGCGCGGCGATTATAGTTGACAGTAAACTAACACCGGCTACACTGGCTACACCATGCCAGCTGTTACAAGCGTGGTGTCAACTCCATCAGGAACATTCACGGCTCTGCAATACTTTTTATACAATCCAAGTCTCAACTCCCTCTCCTTCTCTAGTCGATGTTTTATGTCGCTTATTTGATGTAATCGAAATCCATCAACTTCATCGAGCGCTGGATATAAATCCATAGTGTATATTATTATTATTATATCATATAATAGTCTTTAATTGGTCTTGCTTAAATGTTTTGAGAGTATACATCAACCTTATCAAATGTATATTATACGGCATGAATATCTTAGTAAGAGAAATGCTGTCACTTTTAATAATTTGGACCCCCTCAAGGGTTGCAATGGGTGATGCTCCCATATGAATAATACTGCAACGTTGACGTTGGTGTTTCTTTAGCCATTAAATCGATAGACCTCGTAATATTTCGAAGGCATCTTCCGGTGCATCTCCGAACAAGACTTCAATTATAAGTGTAGAAAGATTAGGTATTACACTCAAGTTCTCTTTAATATCATTGAATTCAGTAACCAAATTGAAACTAACGTTTTTTACTGCTGGACGACTAAATAAAATATAACCTAGGTTTTCTGGCAGGGGAGAGACTAACACACTTTTTCGTTTTGATGGGATATAAGCCCCGAGTACGACCCCACTATTTATTATCTTAGTTAAATTATGTGCCTTACCCGTCATCACATACGGTGGGGTAATGACGATATTCAGTAGCCACTCGATTTTTGCTTCGATCATAGTCCATTTATTATCATCGTTGCGAGTAAGATTATACGAAGTGTTTTTATTGAGTCTACTAACGTCGACATCGGTTAAATCTCCTAGATTACTTGTGAATGCAACTTCTTTCCGCTTGTATACATTATCTTGTAAGTGTAAAGCGTATAACTTACCTTCGGTACCGGGTTTACCGAATCCTTCTGTGTCTCCGAGATCAGAAAGTGCAATTGTATTACATTGTCTTAGTGTTCCAGGGCCTGATGAATCAATCATTATTTATGATATGGAATGTTACACTCAAGTATCCTATATGTACAGGTTGATGTTTTACATCTAATACAGAAATTTTGAGGTCTGAAATAATACCCCGCTTTAATTTTTTATATTGTAATGATGAGAAAGATTCCGTTCTACCGCTATTGTATTTTTCATCTTTGACTGGAACAGCTCTGAGTAGAGTTGAAGGACTTTCTAGTTGAATATTATCCGTCGTGCTTATTTGATCAAGATGGATGCACAACTCATTATAGGGAACTAAATCGGGTAATTTAACTCCCTATGCTTGTTTAAGGCTTCATGTCTGTCTTAGACAAAGACATGAATCTTGGGGTTCTAAGATACCACAAACAGTGAGAGTTTGGTGGACATACTTTACTCAGTCAGCAAGATGGCGGAACACCCAAAGTTGTGACGTCATACACATGACGTTACACAAATGACGTCATACACAAATGCTGCTAGTAGTGAGACTACTTGTCACATCTCCCTTTCAATAAACAAATTAAAGTTCTCATGGAATGTAGGGTGTATTGATGGATGACTAGAGTCATAAGTTAAAGTCAAAATATTTGGCACAACTGTTCCTTGTATATCGCATTTCTTTGTATGTCACTGTTGTTAACTTTCACTTGCTCAAGAGTCATCATGGCACAGTAGGGAAGATTATGAACACCTTCATGTCTCTGGTGACTGTCCAACATAACAATGAGAAACATAAACTTTAACTGAGAATGGACAACAAACGTAAGACTGAAAGTCGGTTTGTTGACCCACTTAAATTAAGTTTAACTGCTAACATTTTTTTTTTTCATTTTTTTTTTTAACACTTTAACTTGATACGTCCTATTCTGTGTAGTCCTTGAGATATTCTGGTTTGCGTATCTCTCTACCTGACCGCTGTCTGTGACTTCGCAAGTGTGTGTGCAGGACTGTGATGCACACCTCTGGAAGGTACGTTCACACTTGTCGTCTCAGGTGAGCTGATGTCTGTCAGCTTTGGAGATTTCCTTGTTACCTCGAGTGTTTCACGACTTGGTGATTCAGATGTTTTTCTCAGATGTCTGCGATTTCGTCTCAGGATCTGATTGTCCTCTGTAATGACCTCGTAGGAACGGGGTCTGTCTTTGATTGGTCCCAAGACTTCTGCTTTCCGCCACAGTTTGTCACCAATTGTTTTGGGTGAGATTCTCACGCTATCACCTCTCTGAAGAAAAGGAAGCTGTTTCGTACCATGGTTGTAGTATTGAGCTGCCTTGTACTTGAGGTTTCTCATCTTTTCAGTAGTTCCTGAAACAGTCTCCGGAATCAGCAGATTTTCAGGGATAGGTAACAATGTTCGTGTTTGCCTGCTCATGAGCCTTTGAGCAGGACTCGAGTCAAGACCCTGTGTCCGTGTGTTACGAAAGTTCAGTATGGCCAAGTAAGGGTCACTCTTGGCCTGTTTGGCTTTCTTCGGTAAATGTTTTGCAGTTTTCACTGCCTGTTCTGCCTTTCCGTTGCTCTGAGGGTAGGCTGGAGAGGATGTTACATGATTAAATCCCCAGTCATGAGCGAATTTCTTGAATTCCTCTGCTGAGAACTGTGGACCGTTGTCAGATATGCAAGTGTCTGGTATGCCATGTCGTGCGTACTGTCCCTTTAGCTTGTTCACTACTGTGGCTGACCTGGTATCTGTAAGGTGATCAATTTCCCAATAGTTTGAGAAGTAATCTACAGTGATGAGATAGTTGTTGCCATCTAGAACCAACAGGTCTGCTCCAACTTTGGACCATGGTCGGTCTGCTACTGCGTGTGACAACAAGGGTTCCTTAGCTTGTTCCCTGACACTTCCACGGCAGATGTCACATTTTGCGACATAATCTTTGACTGCCCCATTCATCCCAGGCCAGTAAATACATTCCCTTGCACGTCGGAGACATCCTTCTGCTCCAATGTGTGAAGAATGAATTTGCACTAACAAGTCTCTTCTCAGGATTCGGGGAATCACTACTCTTTGACCTCGGTAGATAATTCCATCTTGTACAGTCAACTCATCTCGACAGTGGAAGTATGGTCTTGCAGCGTCAGGAACATCTTTCAACTGATCCGGCCAGCCCTTCCAAATGATGTCATACACTTGTTGTAGATCTGTGTCCGACTTGACTTTCTCCCGTATCTGTTCCATTCTTGGTTTAGCAATTGGGACGTAGTCTATCATGTTGATGAATTCCTGGTCCATTCCTGTATCTGCAAGTTCAGGCAGTGGTGCTCTGCTTAATGTGTCCGCTAACTGCATCTGTTTCCCAGGCCTGTATGCGAGCTGTATGTCGTAGCGCTGCAGTCTTAGCAACATTCTCTGCAGACGCTTGGGTGCACTGTGTAGTGGCTTCCTAACTATAGTCTCAAGAGGCTTGTGGTCAGATTGAACGTCAACTGGCCTTCTGTACGTGTATTGGTGGAACTTTTCCATTCCATATACAACTGCCAACAATTCCTTCTCGATTTGGGCATACCTGGTTTCGGCGTCTGTCAATGGCCTACTAGCATAGGCCACAGGTTGACCATCTTGGAGAAGAGCTGCGCCCAAACCTGACATAGATGCATCACACTGAATCGTGACCTGACTCTGTGTGTCGAAGAACTTGAGCACAGGGTACTTGCTTACAAGCCTCTTGATATCATAGACGGCGTCATCATGAATCTGTTCCCAATGCCACTCAACATCCTTCAGAGTCAGCTGCCTTAGCGGTTCACAGGCACTGCTTAGATGTGGGAGGAACTTGCTTAGATAGTTCACGAATCCAACGAAGTGAAGTACACCTTGTACATCTGTTGGTTTCGGCATATCGAGAACAGCTTTGGTCTTTGCTGGGTCAGGCTCTAGACCATTGGATGTAGGACGATGTCCGATGAAGGTAACTTCCTGTACTTTAAATGTTATCTTGTTGGGGTTGATCCGCAGGTTGCGAGCTCTGCAGCGTTCCATGAGCGCTCTGAAGTTTGCATCATGATCTACAGATGCTTCTTCAATGGAGTCTCCTTCGCCATAGATGAGAATATCATCCGCAACTCCTCGTACACCCTTGAGCCCTTCTATGACCTGATCTTGCCGTCGCTGGAATTCCTCCGGAGCGGAGGATATACCAAACGGCATACGTAACCAACGAAAACGTCCAGACAGGGTGTTGAAGGTAGTGAGGTATGAACTACTGTCTTCCATAGCCACATGCCAAAACCCATTCTTTGCGTCCACAACGCTAAACACTTTAGCTTTGCCAAGGTCCGGTAAGATATCCTCAATAGTTGGTAGTGGGTAGTGACTGCGGAGAATTGCCCGGTTTAGGTCTTTTGGATCGATGCAAATCCTAAGTTTATTGGGTTTCTCCACGATGACGAGACTAGATACCCAAGGTGTTGGTTCAGTGACAGGAGTGAGTATTTTAAGATTCACCAGACGCTCTAGTTCAGCCTTCAGCTTCGGCTTCAGTGCTAGTGGCACTTTCCTTGGAGGGTGAACGACTGATGCCACCGATGTGTCAAGTCGGATCTCGTATGCTCCTTCAAACTCTCCTGTTCCCGTAAAGACATCTTTGAATTCCTCTTTTACTCCCTTCAATGTTAGATTCTGAGGAATATTAATTGAGTGCATGGATGCTGTCATTACTTTATCAACCATAGTAATGTGTTCATGATCCACTCTTATCAACTTCATACTCATAGACGCGTGACTGCCTAATATTGGCCTAGCACAAGGGTCACTGAGGACAATAAAGTCTACCTTGTACTTTCTTCCATCCTTGGGGTTGACTACTTTTACAGGGCATTTGCCTAAAGGCTTGACGACAGTCTTGTCGTACATTCTCAACACCTGGGATGTCTGCTGTAATTCTGTAGTAGTAGGTAGTAGAGAACTTGGTATCAGGTTGCAGGTGGCTCCCGTGTCGACTTGAAATGAAACTGGTTTACCTGCAATGTTCATGGATGCGAATATTTGTCTGGGATATTCAGACTCCTCTTGCAGCTGATGCACATCTATCACTGGCTCTGTGAGAGTGAGTGAGTTGATGGTGAAATATTCATCCGAGTCTTCATCTTCATGGATGATATTTACACGTGGTCTAGAGTGGCGAGGTGGTTGTATTGTGTGACACATGGCTGGACTGTGGTTCTTCTGCTTACATCTGGAGCAAGTTTTTCCAAATGCAGGGCAGACACTTCGGTTCCTCTCAAGTTCTCGACCACAGAATCTGCACTGTATTGTGTTGCTACTTACAACTGGTTTCACTTGAGTGGCCCGTTGACTGTGCAATCTATAATTCTTTTTCTGTGAGTGATGCTCCCCGACATGTCCAGTGTTCCAATTCTTTGGTTTATTTGACCAGTTCTTTTCTCTAACTGTGTGAACTGTTTGCGCAGTGTCCAAGGTTTTTAATTGTTCCTTAGAAATTTCTGATGCTCTACATAAGCGTACACACTTCTCCAGATCCAAACCATCCTCTCTCAAGAGTCGTTCAAGAAGTTGCTTGTCTGTAACCCCACAGACAATGCGGTCTCTAATCAGTGATTCCCTCAATGTACCAAAGTTACATGTGGTAGCTAGGATTTTCAGGTCAGTTATGTATACATAATAGCTCTCACTAGTGTCCTGATTCCTGGTAAAGAATTTATACCTCTCCACAGTTTCCGATTTCTTTGGATTACAATACAGTTAAAACGCATCAAAAACATGTTGTAATGTTCTTTCACCCTCTACCAAGGTGAAGGTTTCATACACTTCCCTACCTTGGGGCCCTGCAGACTTGCCTTCCGTAGAAAGATCAAGGTACAGCTCCGTCTCTTCTCTCCACTTCTTCCATCTGTGTTGAAGATTAGGGGAGTGAAAATCCAACTGATTTGGAGGTTTGAGATGTATGGGTCCTCTCACAACACTCACGTGGTTGCCGCCATTTTCTTGCGACTCCTCGTCTCCCATGACGATCCAATGCTGTTTGAAAACAAACATACGACTCTCCTCACTGTAATACATGATGAATGACGTCCGCTTTCACTTCTGACACCATGTTTAAGGCTTCATGTCTGTCTTAGACAAAGACATGAATCTTGGGGTTCTAAGATACCACAAACAGTGAGAGTTTTGTGGACATACTTTACTCAGTCGGCAAGATGGCGGAACACCCAAAGTTGTGACGTCATACACATGACGTTATACAAATGACGTCATACACAAATGCTGCTAGTAGTGAGACTACTTGTCACAGTGCTGATGTCATGATTACTGTTATATCTCCTCTCCATCCAAGTGTAATTCCTAAGTTCATGAAAAGCTTTACACCCTTTTCTCCAGCGTTTAAATTCAGTATAAAATCAGTATAAATCAGTTTAAAATCAGTCGATTTTAGTAAGTGCCTCTGGTGCTAATTTTTTTGTTAAATTCCCTGATATCCTTGAAAAATACACGGTCACGGCAACTAGCGATAAAATGGTGCACGATTGGTTCCACAATCCGATGCAATTTTGGCAGAATCAGTTAAACTTTGCCATATGGTGTACCACAACGGGATGTGGTGTATCTCTTTATGCCCCAGGATTTGAACTAAATAAATCTGTTTTATCATTTCACATGTACTATCAGAAAAGATGTATACTTAAAGAAATTAGTGCTCGATTACCGCAGGATCTAGCATGGAATTCCACAAATAATCCGTACGATAAGGGGGCCTTCGAACGTTTTTGTCAGGAATTTAATGTTTCTACGAGTAAAGATTGGTGTATTAAAGGAATTAACCATGGTATAGGTGTTCCTTACACAGGGAAAATAACCGTCGAAAAAGAAAGCGATGATTTATTTAAAGAAGTTAACAAAGGTCCATTTAATGCGTTTAAGTTGTTGCATACCAGCAAACTTTACATAAGAATGTGTGATTATTTTCTAAAAACCCATCATTGGTATAAAGACTGGGAACTTTCGAGTAACGATTGGAGAGGAGATATTATGAGTTTTAAGAGTGGTTTAATTTATATTGTTACAAAATTTGTACAACTGAACGATACCACAAATGCTTGGAATGAATTTCTTAATGATAAAACAGAAAATAATTTTACAAACCCAGGAGTTGTAAGAGTTAATGAATCAATAAGAACTTATGTATGGGCAATTCTGTATTGGTGCACAATCGCAAACACGAACGGGAATAATCGGTTCTGGGACGGCGCTCGATGCACAAAATCAGTTTGTCGCAAATGTAGAGGATGCTATTAATTCACCAGTTGATATACCATCTCCTATAAAACATTATCAAGATGTATTACAGTACGCTCAATCCAAAGAAGACTACGTTTATGCGCCGGGACTATACATGTCTCCTAGTAATATGGAACTTAAGATCTGTGTAGTGATCGGTTATAATAATAAAATTGTTATTGCTACCGATCAACAAAAGCCAGGTATAAATTCAGATATTAACACCGAATTAATAACGCAAACAAACACTGGCGAAACGGGAATAGTCAGGCCACAGATATCTACTAATGCTAAACAATTACTGACGCACACCCACAAGTGCCATCGCATATTGCGGCTAGAAATCAACAACATATCGATGAAAAAACAGCACTTATAGTAGGTTGAGTCGCGGCTGGTTTACTCATGATTTGGTTAAATAGTTCTTAGCGAACTGATTTGGTTAAATAGTCTTTAGCGGATACGTACAACAGCCCTGCAATTGCTACGATCAGTGCCCACAAGTTTTGACTAAGCCAAGTGGTGGTCTTTGCTAATAAATGCAAGAGCCAGGAAACAATACTCCCTATTATACTGGGAAGTGCAGACGCGGCTTTCCCAGCGAGCTTTCCCAGTGCTGAACCTAATGCTTTTAAATGCTTTTTTATCCACTCTTTTATGCCACCCCTATCACTAGGGTGTGTGGGTGGTCCACTGCCACCGGTTAACGCGAGAGTCAAAGTCGATATAATAAATCCCAATGCGGTTAAAATACTGGCAATGGTTCTTCTAAGTTAAGCAATCTTTCTGCAACGCGGCGTCTACTGAATTCATCACCCGCCTGTTCAAGTTTTGTTTTCTCATAAGCTATATGCATGTCGAATTTTGGATAGCTTGGCTATATTATTGATGAGTTCTCCCTGCATTGTTTGCATTGCCTTGTCAAGACCTCTTAATTCCCTAATACTGAACTCTGAATATGGTGATACACTGACCGTGGAATTATCGTAGTAGGTATCCAAGATTTCTCCGAGTCCATCCGAGGCCAGCTTTGAGCTTTCTTCCAAATTATCTTTATCTATGAGTAGTCTACAAAACCTAATTCATTATGAACAATGTTGATGCCGTGTTTACTGTCTATCGTAGACAAGGCTAGGGGCTTAAGAGTACGAGAATTCATAAGATCAATATCGAGTTCGCCACTCAGTCGTGATATTCCTTTACTATCTATCGTAAACTTTGAATAGTCACAACCAATTGGGCTAACATCTTTAAAGACATCGTAATAATCATTAACGGCTGGTTTCAAAAGTTCATCGTTAAGATTCGTAAAGCTGGTTTCATCAGTACCCTCTTCGATTGTACTAGTATCAGTTATGTTATCTAGATTAATATCATCCATTTTTATATTAAACATAAGGTTACATAATTTCAATATAACAATGTCTTCGCAATACGGACGCAAGTTAAACCCACAACGTAGACTTCGGGATCCATTAGGGGTCAAAGCCATTGCCACTCTGTAACTATAACTAATAACCCTAGTACCATTGATAAGAATCAAACGCTTCTGGTTCGCTTTCCTAATCTCGGCGCACACGATGTGTTAGTTCCGGGAACTGTCCGACTAGCATTTACAATTAGTTTGACTAATACCGACGTTAACAGGGAGCCTGTTCAGAACATAGGTCGTGCTATCATTAAGAAAATTGCGATTAAAATTACCGTAATGAGGTTTTGTGTATCGATGATAGCGATGTATATTTCTGTTACATGGATCTCTGGAGAACGGATAAAGAGTGGGAAAACTTACAGTACCAAGGTATTTGTAATCGGAACACTTTGAGACTGCGTGTGGGTGCTGATAATGGTGATAATATCGTTGTAAAAGATCTCGCTGTTGCCCGGGCATTAGGTAACCGATTCTATATTCCGCTAGACTTTGAATTACTAGATAGTCACATGCCCTTTTATCAAGCATCCCTAGGCGATAGGTTAGAATATGAACTCACTTTTAATGACTATGGCAGAGTAATCATAGCTGCTGAAGATGCTAGCTAATCCATTGACAATATCTCGCTGGATATGATATGATAACAGATCCTGAATTAGCCAGACAAATTCGTAACCAGTATACAGGAAGTTTAGCTATTTTGAACGATCGCGTGCTTCGACATCGAAAGATCATAAGGAGCAAAAAAGATACGAGAATGTATTTATGCAGCATGTATGTATAACTACTATTTAAATGCATTCTCACTTTGGAGGATTGGAATCTGTTGTAATAGATTGAATTTGGTTCTTCAGTTTAATACTTTATTTAATTGAATTTCAGGTCACCGCAGTGAAGCCGTTTGGGTGTACAAGAGGTCTTCAGATGACCAAAAGGCATCAGTTTCCGACCTGTTGTGCGTTGTCCCCGACAGAAAGAGAAACGTTGATTCTGAACCAACTGCTCAAACTTCTGAACCAGAATCAAAAGTTTCTGTTAACTGTGGAAAATGCAAAGACAAGCAGTATTCATTAACTATTAATTTCAACTGAAATAAAGAATTGTTGAAAAATTGGTTTATTTTTTTGTGGAAGGATTAAGAAAATCAGGTATCAAAACAAACTTGAGAATTCTTACTCAAAATTATTTCTGACTAAATTTCTCTACATGTTTCCAACACTAAAGCCTGATTTCAACCTATACTGTAACTTTGTACAAACTATCACACTGAAGCGTTTATGTGGGCTAAATTTGCTAATGTCGTAAATCCGGTCGGAATCAGGGCAAGGTTTTATTTTAAACAGTAAGACCCGATAAGAGGTCTTACTTTCAAAAGTAAGACCCGGTATTAAGTCTTACTTTCAAGATCTTAGAGAGCAGACCAAATGGGTTGCCCTGTTTCATTGCAAAGACCGAGATTCATTTGAGGAAGGTCTACGCGAAAATGATGTTATTTATACCAAGTCCGAACGAGATAAAGTCAGAAAACTGTTAGCTTCAACCAAGCATTGTAAACTCGTATTAAAAACCGATCAACCAGCTGCTTATGCAATTGCTAAGCAAAATGTAGCAAAATTATAGCAAAAATATAGCAAAAAAAGGAAAACTATAGCAAAAATAGCATAAATATAGCAAATATAGCAAAAATGGCATAAAATACGATAAATTGAACATTAGCAGTTATTATGACATAATGTGGCTTGAAATCCTCATTTTTTCGCAACATTTTATTATTACGGGCTGTATTGGATATGCCATATTATATTATGTTAGACTTAAATATCTCTTTAGGTATTACATCATGGATACGACGAACTCATCGAACAAATGCTCAAAGAACCAGATCAACATGTAGATCAAGATGTAGATAAATCTTTAGATAAACATAGAGAAAGACTCGTGGCTTTGGCAGCCGGTGGAAAATGTTCCGAATATTTGGGGGAAAATTATATTGAAAAAATTGATAACATGACCCATGAAGAAATTAAAAAACTGTATGCGCATTACGAGTCTAGACTGGGAGCTACCATGACTAAAACAATAGGCTCGGCTATGTTACAACTATACACAGTCGTAGCTAGTACGTTTCTTCCTATCCCGGCAGAACATCGCCCTCATTTATGCGAATCTCTCGAGAAAGACCCATTCATTGAACATGCTATAAGCGCAGTGAGCTGTGAGTTTTATCATAGATATGGGATGTTCTTAGCTCCGGTGACCACCGCTTTAAAAACGGCTAGGTATTGTCAATTTAAACATA